TCCTGGTCTTTAATGCACAGTGAAGTTATAAAATCGGGATACAACAATTCATAATTCTGAAGTTTAATTATTATGTTTGACATATAAATAGTTTTTTATATTTAACATTTGCTTTAAATGCTGATTCAAATAATGACCAAATACTGATTCAAAGTCTCTAGGGTTTTTAAAATATGAAATTTATTCAGGGAAATGTAAAAAATTTGTAAACAATAGTAAAATATAAGATATCCATTTCTTACCACTGAATTTTAAAGAAATTTACAGTTTAACAAAATATGATTTTCTTTTGGTCCATAAACAAGAGGATTTGCATCATGTTAGGCCTGTCAGAGCAATGTATCATCAAAAATATATCTAGCAGCAATATTTCGGTAATAAGATTGAGATTGAGTTAGTCAGTCACTGTAACAAAACTGTTACATTTTTAAGTTATGCATTTCTCTGTGGAAAGTGGTGCCGGAGGTTTGTGTGCATATTTATTTTCAATTATTCAACAAGATTCATAAACAATTGTTAGTCAGTCAGGTAGTAAAAAGAAATGTGCATTTATTTTTTTCAATTATGCTTTAAATTACAAAATCTAAACTTTTAGGCCTTAAAAGTCTTAAATTTACTGAAATATTTTGTTGTAGGTCTTAAATCTTTTTAAACAAGTGTTAGGTACAGTCCATAGTTAAACTATTTATAGATTTTAAGGAAAGGATCTGGGTTTCAGTCGACAGGACGGTTTACGACCACTGGCTCCACGAAGTCTGGCCTCCGTGACACCTTTCGTTATCCAGAGCTATCCAGAGAGATGGACTTAGAGACTTCAAAGACATTCTGATCTTCCCCCCCTGCTTACAAACACACACACATCCACATACCCTCAAGGACATTAGTCCAAAAAGAAATTGGACTGAGAAATCAAGGACCAGCACAAAACTAAAATGTTATGTTTGTAAACTTTGTATCTCATTTCTGACCTTTCCTACCTGTACAACCCCTCCTATAACCCGTATGCCTGGTTCCTTTAGACCTTTTTTGAGCATAAATAATGTTAGGGTGTGGAAATTACGTTGCACATGATGCATAGAGCATGATAATAACTTGCACTACTTACATTCTTTAATGCCTTGCAAAAATGCCTCTCCGCATGCTTTAGGCGGACACTCAAATTTGCATATGAGCAGCTAGAGACAAAGAGAAGGTTCGCGCTCAAACTTTGCTCTGAAATCATTGGTCGAGCATGTTGAAAGGGCGTGTAACAGAGCTCACGTTTAAAAGCTGACCCCTCCCCAGGCTCAACGCAGAACGTCCGAAAAGAACTTCCCCAGAGATCGCCCCTTTGAGGGGTCCGAGCGGCTTCTGTGCCGTGTGGACCTTCCAGCCACGTTTTCTTATTTCTCCGGCAAAGTAGACTCAGTTTAAAGTTGCGATCGCATTCCTCCGACCTGTATTGCAAACTTCCACATCAAGTAGGACATCAAAGGACTCTCATCACAACGGAAGAACCTCCCATAAAGAGAGAGACCTCCAGACACTAAAGTCCAGCTATTTTTAGTTATGCGAATAAGCTGTGCCCCTTTTATCAAAAAGGCGTTTTTATAATCTTGGTGATCCTTAATGGTGTGTGTGGAACTGAAACAGATTTGCCACTCTTTATCTGAACTATCTTTTTCCTCGCTTTGCTATTTATCTTGGTTTGTTACATGTTAACAATAAATTAATCCAGAATGTTAATGATTAGTAATAATCCGTTATTGTTGATAATTAATATTCATAATCTGAGAGTCCGCTTGGTTGAGATGGATCGATGACAGGGACTTTCACATTGCATGACTTTACTATAGGAAGAATCGCCGACAAATTCGTTCAAACTACGTCTCACAGCCAAAAACACGTAGTATATTTTGTTATTAACTACATAATGTAAAAGAAGCCTTTAATGGGGTAGAACATGTACATGTTTGCTCACCTGGGTTTAAAGGGAATTAGCCATTTATCCTCAACTTAAGTTGATAATAAACTAATTTATATCTGTATGAAACGTCAAACAGACACAGTTGCTCCTGAGTCCTGTCAAACCTCCACTAGTTTTTCCTCCATTTCGTGGGTCCAAATAAACCGAAAAAGAGAGCTTTTAACTTCTCCCCCAGCCTCCCGCTGGCCTGCAGCAAGTATACACACACGCAAGTAAAAGCTGCTCCCTCATTGGCTGTAGGTGATCGCTGATGTTATTTTCAGTCAAAACACTAAAAACCGGAAAACTTTAGTGACAATTGCCTGTCTAAAACTTTAATTCTGGCCTCAATGTCCTTAACTTTTTTCTTGTTAAGTCTTTTGACCAAGCTAGCATATTGTATTACTTTACCCCTGACAAAAGCTTTTGATGCTTACCATACTGTTCACAGCCTCGCTGTGGTTGATGCAAATAGCTTCTTGAAGTTATGAAAGAAGGGATCAATAACAGACATGTTTTTGCGTTACAATCATCCTAAAATAACTGATGTTCAACATACATGGAAACTAATACCATTTTAAGAGTTCACACTTAGCTGATGATTTACAAAGCTTATTTGGCATGCTGTCCCGGGAGAGAGCCCCGAGCTCAAGGGCTCCTCGAGCCCGGGGCTTCCTCCCGTTGGCAGAGCAAGAAGGGAGCCTGAGCTCGGTGGATCTCAGAACTCCCCTGCCGCTGTAGCTAAGGGAACGTAAGGAATTAGACAAGCTTGATTGTTAAGTATGTTGAATGTCTTTGGATGGTGGGAGGAAACCGGAGAACCCGGGGAAAACCCACGCGGACACGGGAAGGACATACAAACTCCCCACAGAAACACTCACCGGTCCTATCGAACTAAGACCGGCAGTATTCTTGCTGTGTGGTTCACAGTGCTAACCACTGGACCGCCGTGCTGCCCAATTGCAGGTAAAGGAGGAGAATAGGGGAGGAGGGGGGTTTCTTCCAAACGAAGATAAAGTGAACTGAAAACTTAGACTATTTATGGTGCCTTAGGGCTCATATGATTGGAAGATTAGTGATTAGCAAATGCGAGACTGGACGTGATAAATCATAAGCACGTGATCCTCTCGAAATTAGTTTATGAATAAACTTCACTTCAAGAGTTCACACTTAGCTGATGATTTACAAAGCTTATTTGGCATGCTGTCCCGGGAGAGAGCCCCGAGCTCAAGGGCTCCTCGAGCCCGGGGCTTCCTCCCGTTGGCAGAGCAAGAAGGGAGCCTGAGCTCGGTGGATCTCAGAACTCCCCAAAATGCAGAAATTAATCGCTCGGGACAGCAGCCGCGTATTCGAAGAAAAAACCCCCCAAAAGGCAGGAAATTTAGAGCTATATCCGGCTGCTGGATACAATAGAAGGAAAGAGGTTAAATGCATGGGCATTAATTAGATAGGATTAATAAGGGTGAAAAGAGGATTCTAGTAACTCTTGCTGGAGTTAGAGTTTGAAGGAACCCCTGCGGGGGTCATGGTTTTCGGGGTTATGGAGAAGGGGAGAATAGGTGGTTTGAAGCAGTGAAAGGAGAACTTTGAGTGAATCTTGAGGGAGTTGGAGCTCTAAGTGACCCCTGCGGGGGCCAGAGTAGAGTGAAGGTATGGAGCAGTGAGTGGAGGAGAGTAGCTCTTACGAAAGATGGAGCTCTTGTGAGAGTTTGAGTTTAGAGCGGCCTCTGCGGAGGTTAGAGCTTGAGGGTAGGGTGTAGATAGGAGTGACCTCTGCGGAGGTTTGAGCTTGAGGGTAGGGTGTAGATAGGAGTGACCTCTGCGGAGGTTTGAGCTTGAGGGTAGGGTGTAGATAGGAGTGACCTCTGCGGAGGTTTGAGCTTGAGGGTAGGGTGTAGATAGGAGTGACCTCTGCGGAGGTTTGAGCTTGAGGGTAGGGTGTAGATAGGAGTGACCTCTGCGGAGGTTTGAGCTTGAGGGTAGAGTGTAGCTGGGAGGAGCAATGAGTGGGAGGGAGTAACTCTTGTGAGAGTTTGAGTTTAGAGCGGCCTCTGCGGAGGTTAGAGCTTGAGGGTAGGGTGTAGATAGGAGCAACCTCTGCGGAGGTTTGAGCTTGAGGGTAGTGTAGATAGGGGCAACCTCTGCGGAGGTCATGGCTTGGAGGTAGCGTGTAGATGGGAGGAGCAGAGAGTGGGAGGGAGTAACTCATGTGAGAGTTTGAGTTTGGAGCGGCCTCTGCGGAGGTTAGAGCTTGAGGGTAGGGTGTAGATAGGAGCGACCTCTGCGGAGGTTTGAGCTTGAGGGTAGTGTAGATAGGGGCAACCTCTGCGGAGGTCATGGCTTGGAGGTAGCGTGTAGATGGGAGGTGCTGGTTAGCGGTGAGGTAGGGGTTAGCCGTGAGAGGTTTTAAGGGTAACTCTTGCGAGAGTTGGAGCAAGGAGCGACCCCTTCGGGGGGTCAGAGCTAGGGGGGTAGAGTATAGATTAGGGGGATAGGGAGCAGTGGGTGGAAGAGCGGTTTTAGGGTAACTATTGCAAGGGTTGGAGCTTTGGAGCAACCACTGCGGAGGTAAGCGCTAGGAGGTAGGAGGCGGTGGGTGGAAGAGAGTAACTCTTGTGATAATTGGAGCTTGAAGCGACCTCTGTGGAGGTCAGAGCTTGGGGTAGAGTAGAGATAGGGGGAGATAGGTAGCATTGAGTGGGAGAGAGTAACTCTTGAGAGAGTTGGAACTCGGAGCGACCTTTGTGGAGGTCAGAGCTTGAAGGTAGATTGCGGATAGGAAAACATAGATATCTGTGAGTGGGAGAGAGGATTTGTATAACTCTTGCGAGAGTTGGAGCTCGGAGCGACCTCGTGGAAGTCCGAGTTTGTATAACGAATTGAGGTTGCTGGAATGCTAACTGTAATGGCCATTGGGGGCGTCCTTGGCAAAACCTGTAGGGGTGCCATGGTTGGACGATTAGGCTTCTGCTGAGTTTGGTTAGGATGACTCTAGCGAGAGTTGAGGCTCTATTAGGTACCTTTGTGAGTTGGAACCTTGTGAGGAGTTGCTTGGGGGTTGGTTGGAGCCTGTTGTGCTTCTTTGAGGTGGTATTTACTGAGGCGTATGTAAGATTTAAAAGCTTCAGAAGACCAGCGACCAAGGGTCTGGATCAGATTGTGTGAGAGCCCGTTAGAGGCTGCTGTAGTGGCTGCGCCAATCCTGAATGAGTGGCTGGAAAAAGGCTCTGGGGAAAAACCTGATAGGCGAAGAATTTCTTTAAGGTGTTTTTGGAACCAGAATCGAGATACTGGACGGTTAGCGTCGTCAGTAAAAAGCGGGGCCATAGGGTTAGCTTCTTGCGATTTTCTTAGATTAAGATAGGCTAGGAGGGTTTGGAATGGGCGAGTAGGAGAAGGTATGTCGAAAATGAGGATAGAGTGTCCTTTCTGGGTTTGATCTGTTTTGCTTTGTTTGATAAGGAAAGAGATGGTTTCCTTATCTTGCAAAGCTAGATCTGAGATGGTGGGGTGGAGTAGAGGGTTAAATTTAGATGTAACTGTTAATTCGGAACATCTAAGAAACCCAAAAAATGCTAGATTAAACATAGCATCTAAGGTGCGGGCTGTATGGGAGGAAATATACCCTTTGCGAAGGGTGTAGATGCATGAGGTAAGGATTTTGAGTGTGATGGGTTGTCTGGCATCAGGGCTGGTGGGGTGGTTTTTCTAAATACCCTTGATAAGAAGGGAGGTTTGCGAATTTGTGATGGCGTCGGAAGGAGACCCATGGATTAATTTGTGAAAGAACTGGATCCCGCTAAGGTAGCTCTTTATTGAACTGGCTTGTAGGTGATTTGCGGTGTGAAGGTGGGATATAAAGGAAGTGATAGAGAGGAGAGAAAAATCAGGAAAAGGAAGTTGGTGTAGAATATGGAATTGTTTGAACGAATTCCATGCTGTGAGGTATGCATTGAGGGTTCTAGGAGCTATTGCTTGCAGGATGAGAGATAGAGAAGTTTGGTGAAGATTATGAAGTGGGTGGTTTATGGCAATATCGTTTCTGAATACGGAGGTACAGGCGTTGGGTGAGGGTCTGCTTCCGGGGCCAGTTGCCAGAATTTCTGTAGAGAGAAGCGAGAGAGAGAGTCAGCAATTTGGTTTTTGCAACCAGGTACATGTTCAGCAATCATGATAAATTGTTTTTTAGCAGATATCCAGATAAGGCGTCTTAAAAATGGCATAAGTGCTTGGGAGTGGGAGCGCCTTTTGTTGATGCAATGCACTGTGGCTTCATTATCGCAGTGAATGAGAATGCTAAAAGTAGACCATTCGTCCCCCCACAAGATGGCTGCTGCGACAATGGGGTAGAGTTCGAATAGGGCTGAAGAACATTGGTCTTTTGGAATGGAATTGAATTGGGGTGGCCATGTTGAGGCAAACCAGTGTCCTTTGTAGTAGCCGCCGAAACCAATAGAGGGGGCAGCGTCTGTGTATAGGTTAATTAGGTTGTTAAGTCGCTATAGAAAAAGGAACAGCCGTTCCATTGCTTAAGGAAAGAGATCCATAAGCAGAGTTCATCGCGACTTGGTTTAGAGAGAATAATTATTTCTTCTAAACCTTGAACTGTGGTGGATAGTTGAAGGAGGTGTGAAATAAAGGGGCGGCCCTGTGGAATGATGCGCATAGCGAAATTTAGATGGCTGAGAATTGATAGGATTTCTCGTTTTGTGCACATCTGTTTTTCGAGGAAGATTTGGGATAGAGAAATGATCCGATCGATCTTCTCTTTGGGGAGGGATGCTTGAAATTTGTGCGAGTCTAGATTAATGCCCAGAAATTCGATTGAAGTACTGGGACCTGAAGTTTTTTCCTCTGCTAGAGGAATTCCGAGATCAGCGAAAACTTGTTGGGTGATCGCTAGGTGTTTGGCTGGAGGAGATGACGGGGGAGAAATAATGAGAAAATCATCTAGAAGGTGGATGAGGTATGGAATTCCGTAATTATTGGATAGAATCCAGCATAATGCTTCTGACATCATGTCAAATATTTTTGGGCTGCTTTTGCATCCGAAGGTTAGTCGGACTGCAAAATAGAATTGGTTGCGCCAATAAATGCCAAAAAGGTGCCAGTAGTCTGGGTGGATTGGCATGATTTTAAAGGCAGAAGAGATGTCTACTTTGGCTAGCCAGGCGTTGTGGCCGGCTATCTTAATAAGAGAGATTGCTTGATCGATGTCGTGATAGTTGAGCGTATATTCTTCTAGTGGTATCGTGCTGTTAATGCTAGAGAAAGAGGAATTGTGTGGGGACGAAAGGTCGACTATGAGGCGTTTTTTGCCGGAAAATTTTCGAGTTGCGACACCAATAGGGCTAATGCGTGAAATATTGAATGGAGGAGCCTTAAAAGGTCCGATCATAAATTTGTTGTCAATTTCTTTTTTAATAAGATAATCGACTGTTTCGGGTTCGGAGGTCGCAGACTGCAGGTTAGGACAGATTAAATTAAGAGAAGGGAGAGCTGCAACACCTGGGTGGAATCCGTGGGTTAGACCTGCAATGAGAAAATCAGAAAAGTTAGTATCAGGGTGAGACTTTAGTTCCCGAGCAAGGTTAGAAATATTCACAGGAGTCGACAAATAATTTTTTGATTTTTTATTATTAGCTCTTAGGATTTGGCAGATTATCTTGGCGTGGGCGCCGCCACAGTAGGAGCACAGGTGAAGGTATCTGCATGGCATCCTATGACATCTACCCATGTTGAAGTTGTGGCAGATGTCACGGCTAGGAAGGGAGGGTTTAGTAGGGATAGACAAAATAGAAGAAATGTTACGACTGGAAGGGTTAGGAACGTAGCTGGTAGATTTAGAAGGAGGTTGAGTTGGATCAGGAAGAGGGTTAACTAAAGGACAGGAGGTAGTGGGGTGCAGACAGGAGCGACAGACAGCACAGGTTAGATTGCGGCAACCCAAAAATACCCTGTTGTGGAGCTCAGTGTCCAAAGCCCCCCAGTAGGGACACTGATTCCACTGGGTAACGCGCAGAGCGCATTTAGCAGAGAATAGCTTGTGGTAAGTGAAAAAGTGGGTGCCCCCATAGGATAGCGCGAGCTCGGCAATAATGGCCATGTAATCATTAAGCTCGCGTCTCCTATGGGGATATACTGAACAAATTATGTCGGTGAATCTTGAAAAGGCTATGCTAAATTCGGCTAAGGTTAGGGTGCGGGACTGATTATTAACTGAAGATTTGAGGGATACTGAAAATTCGCCGCAATCAACCTGGCGTTCTGCCGCAGGGGGTGCTATAGGTGAGAGGAGTGAAATGAGGTCAATATCCGCACCTGAGAGGATTAAGTTGCGGGCTGAATTAGAGATGGGTGGAGGTTCCATAGCTAGAGCGTTATTCGGCGGTGGGAGGGGCGTGGCAGATGACAGAGTGAAAGGGGGGCGTGTAGAAGAAACTTGATTTGGAATAGAAAAGGAGCAGGTAGGGTTAGAGTTAGAGTGAGCGAGGGGAAGTGAAGAAGAAAAAGATGGAATATTGATTGGAGGATTTTGAGATGCAAAAGGCAGGTTTTGGGAGGAAGGGGGGGGGAGCGGAGGAGGAGGGGGGGGAAGAAGAGGATTGATTTGGAGGAAGAGCAGGGGGAGCAGAAATAGCAGGATGAAACTGAGCATTGGAGGTAGAAGGGAGATGAGGGCTAATGAGAGAGCTAGAGGGGGCGGGGGGCCAGGAGAAGGGGGTAGAAAGAGTTAGAGGGAGAGGGAGAGAGGCTGAGTTCACTTGAATGGAGTCCTGCTGTGGGAGAATGAGTGACGTCATCGGAGGAGGCTGGGTTTCCTGGTGTTGCGATCTTGCGTGGGAGTGGCTTGCTATGTGTTTTTGTTTTGACTTCTTCTTTCCTGGTTGTGAACGGGAGGCTTGCGGGTATGGAGTGAATCGAATCGGATTTTCCTGAGCGGCTGATCTTGGAGGAGGACTTGCAGAGGGAAGGGAGTCCGATGTTGCGTTTTTGTAAAGTTTTAGGAGTTCCGGTTTTTTTAGATTTTTGGGAGCGTTGATTCCGAGGATGGCGAGCTTGTTCCTGATTTCTGATACGGTGATTCTGCTTGGATGGAGGACTGAGGAGGTTGCGGAGATATAAGATGAGGTAGGTGAAGAGATTTGTTGCCTTGGAGTGGATTGCGTTGGTGATAAGTTTTGACGGGACCTAGTAGCGGTGGAGCGTGTCATGCGTCGGCCTCTTGTGACGGCCTGGGGTTCGGGTTGAGAGCCAGGCGGAGCGGGGAGAGGTTGGTTTTTGGAGGGAGAGTTGAGAAGGTCTGGCTGGTTGTTAGCTTGCTCGTTGATGTTCTCGTTGTTCATGGTGGCTTGTTTTGTTGGAGATATTGATTGTTGGAGGGAATAGAAGATAGTGGTAGCAGTTGCGGATGATAATGATGGTGATGATGATGAATAAATGCTGGATCTGTTTGTAGAAGTTGCTGTTTTGGAGATGAGCGGCTATAATTGGATAGCTGGAGCACAGTCTGAGGCTGAGCGGTCTTCCAAACGAAGATAAAGTGAACTGAAAACTTAGACTATTTATGGTGCCTTAGGGCTCATATGATTGGAAGATTAGTGATTAGCAAATGCGAGACTGGACGTGATAAATCATAAGCAGATCCTCTCGAAATTAGTTTATTAATAAACTTCACATAATGCACATAACGTGCTGAAAAAGGGATCAGTAACAAAGAGGCTCTAATGAAAATAAAGCAATGGGGTTGCAGTCCAACCCATTCCTAGTGGAAGCAAAACATATTTTGTCTCAATATCAGAGATCTTGTAGAGTTTGACTTTAGCTGCCAGCTCACATGCCTTAAAGATGCCAATGTCTTTAGAATTAATGGGCTCTGTTTAAAGTGGGGCCAGACACAAAAATCTTCTCAGCAAAATGAAAGTTTCTTCTGTGGTGGTGTCATACAAGATGTTCTCAATTAAGCCAAGTTGTCCATCAATCATCACGCAGTTGTCTCCAGTTCTACATTTTATTGTGACATTTTCAAGAATGGCTTTATTGTACTGCACTCCTGGGGCCTCATGTACGAAGGCTTGCGTGGAAATCTTACTAAAACATTGCGTACGCACAAAGCTGTAAATGTGCGTACGCAGAAAAAAATTCAGATGTATGAAACACTGCGTACGCCGAATCTCACGCATATTCTTTTGTACATCTGAATGAACGTGAAACTGAGCGCAACATGCACGAGCACAAAACCCCTCCCTGCCTCCTCCCCCGTATGAATATGCTAATGACTATGCTAATGTCAAAACCCAACGAAAAAGCAATGGCAAAAGCAAGCAAAAAGAGAAACTTTGAACAGAATGTAAAATGGAGGTGCTGCTTTCGGAGGTAGACCGGAGAAAAGCGGTGTTATTTTCAAGTTTGTTCGGCGGAATTAACAACAAAAGAAAATAAATAGAGTGGGAGAGTTTAGCTGATACGGTTAACACAGTTGGGTCTGAACATCGCACTGAGTGCATTTAAAAAAGAAATAGTGTGGTTTATATCTGTAAAATGTTGCAGTACCCTTCGCAGTCTCAGTGGCGCACCTCATAAGAAGCATATGATCATGTACTGACACGTTCGAGCATAAACTCGGCTCGAATCCAGCGTCTGATGAATTCCTTCTTCTTTTTTTTCCCCGCTACATATCAGATTTTGCCCACTATTTATCACGAGAAAGACAAGTAGGAATCATCAATAAGTTTGTGCATCATATTTTATTTGCACATTTATTGAATGGAAATGTTTCTGATTCACGCATGCAAATTTATCTTCACATAGTGTCTTTATAGCAATGTGCGTGCAGTAGATAGCTCAGATTACATTGGGAAAACAGGCGACCGCTGCAAATTGTGCTTTAATGTTTAGCTGGTCAACTGTATGGTATGGAAATCTTACATACCTACTATATGAACCCGTCTCATACAGACGCCATTGCAAGGATCAGACACTTTGTAGAGAAGAATTTAACACAACTGCCTCTAGGAGTCGCCAATGGAAATAAAACAGACACGCACAAAAAATGTGCGTACGCCTGCCAGAAAGCTGCCGTGAACCTGCGCAAATTCCCACGTTCAGTTCATTGTTAGTAAATCCAAACGTGAGCGATTCTGAGCGTGAAACCTGGCGTACGCAAAGTTTTTGTGCGTACGCAGCGTTGATACATGAGGCCCCTGGTGTACCGTCTTGCACTGTTGGCCATTTGAGCATTTTCCGCTGAGTTTGAGTATTTCCAGCTGAGAAGGGGGCTTGCTCTGCATGGACTGCCACTCCATAACACAAATCAATTACTGGAGAATTTGTTGGGGTTTTCTGATCTTCCTTTTAAGCTGACCAAGGAAGTTTTCAAAGCATATGCAGACACACAGTCCAAAGGACCAAACCTCCTCACATCATCTGCAAGATGACAGAGAGTGGACATTATAGACCATCTCCCCAACCCCATACAAGGTCTTGAACTGTTCAAGGAGATACCTAATCAAGTTATCATCATAGTCACATTAATGGGCACAGAGGGTTGGAGAAAGTATCAGATAGATGCTAATCGGCAGTGATTGGAAGTTGTTGTAAAGTGGTGTTGGAAGAATATCCTTCAATACTAATGGATCGGTGTACAGCAGAAACTGCCTAAACTCAGTAGCTTTCCAGCGATCCAGTTCAGAGAGTGATCATGGCTTTCGTGCAAATTAAAGTGTATGTACTTTGACATCCCTACAAGACTCTCTGTGATGGTATTTATTATATGGGAGCTTTGTCTGTTTTGTAGGTTGCCCTTGGTCCAAAAGTTGACATACATATAATCTAGCACGAATTGTGTGACCATTCCAAAACTTAATGAACTAAGTATGGAGTGACCTCCGTGGTGGTTTTCTGGGAATGTAATTTTACGTCTCATATAAGATCCTTCCTGCGTGCAACGATCGCAATCACCACTATAATCTCCATTAGGGATGCTCATTTCGGTTAATTATGCTAACCGACAACCGCCGCTCATTAATCGGTTATTAACTGTTAACTGGTCAGATTACTATTAATTTTATATTAAACAAATTGACGTGACTATTTTGTGTTCGACAAATTAAATATTGCATTTTAAAATACTGATTTATTTTTATATGCTAGCATATTAATAACAGAACACAACAACAGAGCATTTTCACGCACCTGCAGTGTTTAGCACAGAAGAACAGAATAAACTAAATAAAATAAATAGGACTGCCCTAAATTATTTTCACTTAAATAATTAATTTATATTACAAAACGAAAATACTGACTGATTCTTTTTAATAACTGGCATAGGCTGTTTTTTTTTCCAATCATATGTTTTTTTTCTTCCGTCAATTAAAAATTGCAGACTTCCTCAAATTGCCCGCTCCACGGAAAATGCCCCACTGTTATTATTATAATCACAAAACCTTTTTTCATTTTTAATAGAAATCATTATTTTAAAGAATATGTGCTGATGTATGGTTTCCTTTCCATCCTGTCTTCAGTAGAAGAATGAACAAATCTTTGTAGCATAAAAAAAAATGTTTTATCGTGTTAAATTGTTTTGGTACATTTTCTATACCACACAAGTGTCTGATTTACAATTTTAACTAATTTATTACCAAATTCAAACAATATGCTGCTTAAAGTAGAATAAGACATTGTGTTTATGCCTTGTTTAAATGAAGCAGTACAATGGCATGAACCAATTATCTCATCTTTACTACAGTACTGATTGTAGCAGAAATTAATCTAAATGAATGTTTTAAGCTATATTGAAAAATATGTACATTTTACCCATATTAAAGTTGTCTCATAATTGCTCGTTGTTTCAACCAAGGAAGGACATCAATAAAGCAAATGAATCTAATGCTAAACTGAGCCATATCAATTGCAATCTTTACATTTCTGTCAATACCCAGCCTTGGTGTGCTGTGCAAATCCAACAATTTATTAAAAACCTAAGAATAACTTTAATTTTATTCTTTTTTTTTCGGATTAGCCCCTTTATTAATCTAGGGTTGCCACAGCGAAATGAACCGCCAACTTATCCAGCAAGCACATGTTTTACACATGCCCTTCCAGCTGCAACCCATCTCTGGGAAACATCCATACACACTCATACACTACGGACAATTTACCCTACCCAATTCCTCTATAGCGCATGTCTTTTGACTGTGGGGGAAACCGGAGCACCCGAAGGAAACCCACACGAACGCAGGGAGAACATGCAAACTCCACACAGAAACACCAACTGACACAGCTGATGCGACCTTCTTGCTGTAAGGCGACAGCACTACCTACTGCCCCACTGCGTCGCCTTAACTTAATTTGCATTTGATAAAAGGCATGTGTCTTGGAAAAGTAAAGTTAATTAAATTTTGTAAATCTTACCTTGTCATTAAGCCAGCAGCCCTCCTT